TACTAAAAAAATTTTAAGCTCATACGTACGTACGTGTACGATACGTGCATGTGTACGTGTACGATTCCCAACCCTGACTGTATATATATTTCGAAGAATGATAATCAAAAAAAAAAAAATAATAAATCATTAAAAGGATTTGGCTGTTTCACAAAAGTAAAAACGTTGTATAGAAATATTCAATATTCAATGATGAATGATGAATGCCGAATAGTCAAGTGCTCATTTTTTTAAAACGTAATTTTTGGGGAAGGTTAAATTTCAAGGTGTTTGTTATCGGAAATGTTTTCTGAATGTCTGGATGAGAATGATCATCGCCTTTAAAAAAAAAGTTTTAAATCCAACTGGAGTTCTATTGCCATTGCCCGTTAGGTTGGATGCTTTGAAAGTTTTGAAGTTGAAACCAGTTCGTAAATTTCACATTTATCAAAAGAAGTTGGATGGGAAATATAAAATTGCTTTAAAGAACAAAGAAAAAGAGTCAAGAAAATTCTACAACAAAATTTTGGAGTGAGTGGATGGATATTTGGATATGAAATTCTGATTGGCTAATTTGAATTTCACATGTGAATAGATTCAAATAAAGATTAATTGACATAATTTAAGCGTGCGTTTCCTTGAAATTTTTAGCTTTTAAATTTTATCACTAAATGAAAAAAAGAATAAATAAATCAAATATATTATATTAGCATAATGTTTTTATTTTTACTTAGTATTTAAACAGTTCAAATTATACCAATGTTTTTTAATGTCTATTGGTTTAATTGAATGGATGATTTGAAGAAGATTGGTGTAATAATAGGTTCAAGCGAATTATTTGTAAGAGTAAATTTAATTAATAATTTGGTTAATTTGCTAATTGAACATATTACGAATATAAAAATTAATGTTACACTAACATTATTTATTTTGATGTCTTAGGATGTATCTGGTTTCTTTTTTTTCTGCTTCTGCCTCTTTCTCTTTCTCGATTTCACTTACTATAGCTTCAACCTCTTCAATTTCTAAACTCTGTATGTTAATCATGAATTACAATAATATTGATAATAGTTAAAACAAACCAATTCAATTAAAATTCCACAAATTTATAAAGATCTAGTAACCTTAATTATGTCATCACTGAAATTTTGATATTTTGGCACCAGTTTGTACAACCTAATAAATTATATACTATTATCAATTATCAATTATATATACACATATACATAATAATCATCATACTTCTAAGAGAGATTTAACAGCCAATTTTATGATTTCATCTTTTGATAAACCTTCTTTATAATTTGCTTCCAAAAATTCACAGACAAGTTTTTGAACTTTTCCCAATTGAATTTGCCTTTGATTTTTTTTTAAAAAAAAATATTAGCAAATTTAAAACTCTCTTATTTAAAACATCAAAAAAAGTAAGCAAAACTTGTAATATTTACCTTCCATGCTGAATATATGCCAGATGGATCAGTTTGATAAAGTCTTGGCACCTTATCATTAGCATCAAATCCAATGATAAGTGTTGAAATGCCAAATGGACGTACACCACCACTTTGTGTGTATCTCTAATAATCAAAATAATAATAATAATACCTAAATATTTACTCGATGTCTAATCGAGTGAGTATTTAACATATAAAAAATACTACAACCACATACCTGTTGAACACCTGCAGTATACCGCGTAATATATTCAACAGTAAATCTATGACTTTGACATTAACAAGAACTCTTGCATCTGCACTAAGACCTTTTACAATTCATTATGAATATATTTTATTATTAATTTATAATCCTTTATTCCCTCCAAAAAAATACAGATCAATAAATAATAATGATGATGATGACAACAACAATTCTGTACCAGCAAATACCATGCATAAATGATCATCTAGCATGACAATTTTTCGTACAGTACACGGATCTTGTATTTAAGAACCGTTTTTTTTTCGACTCCAAGAACAACATAATCTTCATCACAGACTCCCACCTATACAACAAATTAATTAAAATTTTAATCTATTATCAATAAACATAAAAATTTCTCATAAATGATTGAAATTCATTAAACGTAAACAATAAGAATAAATACTGCACAAGTTCCTTTTCTAACAGCTTCTAAAGCATATTCGACTTGAAATAAATATCCATCTGGTGAAAAAACAGTTAATACTAAAAAAAAAAACAATAAATTGAGTAAATTATAACCCTGCACTAAGAATTAGAGTTTAAATAAAACAAAGAAAATTTACCGCGATCATAAGAGCCAGCTATTATTTTGAAATTCTTTAAAAAACTTTTGTTGCAGATTTTAATTGATGTACAAAATGTGCAAAATCAGGATCACGTAATTAATTACATACAACTTCAAAGGAAACATCGAGCATTTATCCGATAGCTTTTGACTAGTTCTCTAATTTGTTGCCGAGATAATTTAACAAAATTCTTATTTTTATAAAAAACAAAATTTTAGATAGTAAATGGACAAATTCTCCCTATAAATTTTAAATATGATGTATTGTAATTTTTATTTGATTTATTTAAATAATATAATTTGAAGAATTGCAATAGAGAAACAATATTTTTAAATATTTACCAGACAGATTTATTTCGCGATTGTCTTCTATCACGTGAATATATATTTTTGGATCCGAGACTTAATTTTCATAAATTTATTATTACTACTACTCTCATTATTGAAGGATCGTCACCTAGAGGCACTACACAGAAAAAACCTTCCATTAGTGAAAATCATCTGAAATGTTAATAACATTCAAGTGAAATTGATCTATTGGATTTATTAAAAATACTGTAAGTGTATGTTTATTTTTTGCTAATCTTAGGCTGGTGGTTGTAATGAATACATCTTTAGAGATTGCATTTTACCCAGTGGACAGCCTCAAAAAATGCACTTAGATAGATGAAAGGTAGAGAGGAATAGGGAAAATTTTAAGATAACGTAACCTTTGGCCAGCTGACAAAAAAGCTTATTTGCCTGTGTAAGAAGCTCAGTCATTTTTAATGGTAAAGTTGTTAATTTCACGACAGTAGTAAGGACTAGTTTCCCTAGTTTTGATTATTGTCAAAAGCATTCTTCAACAAGAGAAAATTGTTGTGCTGTTTGAATTCTTTCTTTATAACCTGATTTTGCTTCCCAGAGTCCTTTGATACAAGAGATTATTGAAAATCATGGACGTAAAGTAAATTTTTTCCTAAATTTCATTGAATATTTTTGGATGCAACAAAAAAAAAATGCACGCGAAAAAATTATGACTATTCTTTAAAGGGTTAGAAAAAACTGTTTCAGTAGCTCTTGAATCAATATCTTGAGAACGCATTCGAAAGTATGCACTCTTGGCAATTCATTGATGCATATCGTAAGGATTGACCAGACCTTATGCCTTACATACTGATACGGTTAAAAAATATAAATAAAACTCATGCGATTTCTGTACTTGGAAAAAAATTGTTTTTATTGCATTTTTCTATTTGGAAATGTGGCACAGAAATAGTGGTTCCGCACCACACTGTAAATTATTATATAGATTGATTTCTGTTTCCTTCAGGATTTATAATAGTATAATATTTTCTTGAACAGGCATCTGAACTTCTATTTTTCATAATTTCAGAAACTTTATCCCATTTTCCACTATATATTCTAACCAAATCAACTAATTTCTTTATTTCATCACTTGACCACATTATCCTTTTACGGTCATCTGATTCAAATTTTTCATTGCCATCACCATTGCCATCATTAAAATCACTAATCTTAGCATCATTATCATCAAATTCCAAATCAATATAGTCATCATCGTCATCATCATCATAATCATCATCATCATCATAATCATCATCGTCATCATCGCCACCACCTTTTTTCATCTTTGTTGCTCGATTTTTGATAGATTTGAATGTCCTTCCAGGAAAATATTCAGCAAGACGTCCATAATCATTTCCATATTTTTTTAATAAATCCTTTAATAAATCTCTATCTGTTTTTGACCAATTCTTACGTGTAACAGGCCAATAAAATTTTTTTTGATCATTATGACTTGGTTCTGGTAAAAATTGATGATTCAATTTGAAAAATGATATAAATTGATTTTTTGTTTTATTTTTAATTTCTTTTGATATTGTCTTCCAATCAGGTCCATATTTTTGATAAAGCTCTGTGAATTGGCCAATTTCTTCATCATTCCATATTGTATTAGTCCTTACAAAATTATGCATATTAAAAAATGGAAATATGTGTTCATGATCTAAATAAAAATTTTTAATCTCTTTGCCTGATTTCTTGTTTCCCAATTTACTTGCTATTAATTTCCAGTTATTTCCATATTTATTGTATAAATATTGAAGTTTAACTACTTTGATCAATGACCAATTTGTATTTAATGATTCATAATACCTTGTAATATAATAAAACCTTACATAACATGCTAATGGTGTTCTTTTTGGCTTAAGTTTTTGGGAAATTTCTGTAAAATCTTTACCTGAAAGCCTTAATTTAAAAAGTTGATAAATATCATCAACACCCCATTTAACTTCTAGTTTTGATTTACGTGATTTTTTAACAACATTGTGAGGATGATATTTTGTAAAATATTTGAAAACATGTTGACGTACCTCATTTGGTTTTTTATATGGAAAGCTAAGAATAATTTTATCCCAATCAAACCCATGTTCAGCTATTATATTCTTTAAGAATTTTTTATCTTCAGATGACCATTGACGTGTTCTGGGTGAATTAAAACATAAAGGTGTAAATCCTGGCAAAAGTAATGGAATTAATTGCCATCTACCATACTTTTTCACAAGTAAATTAAATGCATCTATTACTTCTTTTGATAAATGGTGTTCAGATATTGAGGTAACATCATTATTAATTTGATTCCAAGATTGATGATATTTAAATTCACATAAAATAGCCGATCTACCAGGAAGTTTACTAGATATTTTAAACCAATTTTGGCCATATTTTTCAACAAGTTCATTTAATAAATTTATTTCATGTTTTGTCCATGGAAGATGATCTTGATTTGTTGTTGTTGGTCTTATGGTGGTGGTAGAGATTGTATCTAAACTTTTTTTGCTTGATGAAGATGATGATGATGGTGATGTGAATTTTGAAATTAAATCATAATCATGTCTATATTTAAAAATTAAACTATTTAAAATATTTAAATCAACATTTGGCCATCTAATAGATGATGTGTCATGAATAGAATTGCTTAATGAAGGAAATTTGTCTGGATTTTTCTTTACAAAAAGTTCTATTTCACTGGAACTTTTATTTGGAAAATGTTTAATAATTTTATTCCATCTACGTCCATGTATCTCAAATAAATTATTCAGGGATTTAATTTCTTCATCCTTCCAACTTTTTTCTTTTTGATAATGTTGATAGTCTAATGGTAATAATAAATCATCATTGTTATCATTATGTTTAAAATTCTTTGTATGATGATCAGGTAATATATTTAATAGACCTGCATATTTTTTATAACATTCTACTGGTGATTTGGTAAACATATACTTGGAAACCAAATCCCAATTTTCACCAAGTTTTTCAACAAGATTTTCTAATTGTTTAACTTCCAATTTGGTCCATTCATAAGATTCTTTTTGACCATTGTTGTTATCATTGTCATTGTTATTGAAATCATCTATTAATTTAACATTGTTTTTTGATAAAGTTGAAAATTGTCTATTTGTACAATGATCATCAGGTAATGATAACAACAATACACTATTAGATAAATTTTGTCTTGTTTTATTTAAAGAAATTAATTTATTATGATTTAAAAGCTTTTTGATCATTTTTAAAATAAAAAGGATCAACTGTGTAACTAAACTTTAAATGTCACTATAGAAACACGGATTTCAGATAGTGAAAGCATTGAGCATAACAACCATTTTCACAATGTTTTTACAATATCTTCTATAATATTTCATTGGTATTTGTTTATGTTCAGTGTTTTCACTATGTGAAATCTTTGTGAATTACATTTTTTCTGTCAGTGTGCCTTGATTTTTTTAAAAATAAATAATATTTATTCATATATTAATTTTGGGGGGTTCTTTGACCAAACCAGTCTGGTAGAAAATAAGGTTTCTGTCCAAATTGTTTCTCAAAACCCAAATTAGTTTGGGCTTCTCAGCATTTTTTATAAATATGAACATTAAAAAACTATACCAATCAACTTATTTTAACTTAAACAACTTTAAAGTAATTTTGCCCAATTTTGGCTAATAGTTTGGGCTTATAAAAAAGTAATTTTTGCCCAAAGTGTTTTGGCAATTTCAGCTACTAATAAAGAGAGTTTTGGCCAGAAATTTTAGTAGAAAAGTCTTGATTTATAAAACTTCAATGAAATGTTAATGGTAATGACATTTTTATAATATCACTACAATGATTTTAGTATATTTGATAGATTCCACATTTGTGAAATCATTGACAGTGACAACTAATTTCACAAAATTTCATTTCCCAATAATTTTCACAATCATGAAATTTTTATGAATTAGATGTTTTCTATCAGTGAGTGATGCACAATGAATTATGAAGAGGTACCAAAAATACTCTTGGTAAATAGTTTTGGTATAGAAAAACCCTTCCTCCAGAGTAACTGAGACCAATTTCAGTATAGTTTGGTTTCAATACTTTCTGAAACTACCAGCATCAGCATAGTGGAAATTTAAAATGTTACACTAATTTTTTATATTGTGAAACGTAGCTTTACAATACACGGCAAACATTCTGGCAATAAAAAGTAAGTGATAAACTGGATTTGAATTGGATCTGGATCTGAACTTGATCTCCAATTTAGATAGGTAACAATTATATACTGGTGAAGTTTCAGGAGCAATGGGTTCTGTATAACATTTCGTGTAACAACAAACTTCCACTATGCTACCAGCATCAATGAATAAAAAATTAACTTGAACAAAAGGGTGACAATGGAGAGGCAACAAACTAAATTTCTTGGAAGATTATTGTTATTAGAATTGAAATTTTAATGACTAAGCATATTAGCTGAAATTGCCTCTCTTAATAAATTATCATCACTGAATCTGAAATGCCAAAATAGTTTTTCATAGTTGCCAAAACCAACTTTATTACTTGTAAAAATTATATCTGAAATTACTTGGATACTTTAACTCAAGACTGTAATTATGGTAGTTTTTTTATGTCTATTGATATAAAGAATATTGTAAATCCAAAATTGCTTGCTGAAATTAATTTTTTCAAAAACAATTTCAGCCAACATCCTTATTTATGACTTTTTGCAGTTTAATATTAAAAACAATTAATAAAACAACAACTAAGGCCCTGAATGAATCAATGAAATTCAAACTGAATTGAATTGGATTCAAATCACCAAATTTCTGATTTGAACCTATAAATAATTTGATTTGGTTGCAACCATAAATTGCATTATTTTTTTGTTATCTCTATTAATATTATATGTATAAATAATTATATATTACTATGTTGCATTCAAATCTCCTCTTCTTTAAACAACTTTTTTTGCTATTTTTTTTTCAAATTGACAATTTAAAATTATTTGTTTTTATATTGTAACAAAAGCAGCTGTTAAAGAAGTTGTTAAATCAGTCACAACTCCTGATCCTAATCATGAATGTACTATTGAAGGTCTAAAGATTATGACATAATCTCTCTTATTTATATTTTTTATTTGCACCTGCACTATGCAATTATATGTTATAAAATTTATTTTTATATGTTATTGCTTTTGGCAACATTTTTATTTCATAAAATAAAGCAATGTAATTTGATTTGTAATGGATGACATTCAGTCATACATAATTGTTCTCCCACATTTTGGCTTGTATTTTTTAATTGTGTGTAATATCTACCTACAAAATAAACATATGAACATGAAATAAACAGCATAGTGGACTTAAATTTGATTGGCCGATTGGCAAGATATAGATAAATTGAAAATAATAATAAAAAAACAACTTAATGGGTATGTATCACTTTTTTCTGTAAATTATTTTGATATGGTAATATGTAAAAGTAGTAAGATCAAAATTTTCTATCCAGTAATACACAAAGGTATCCAATTTTTTGATACAGAAAAGTGATATGTAAAAGTGCAATCCAATTTTTGATGCAATGTATCCAATTTTTATAGTGATACATAAAAGTATGATGATATGGTGATATGATCCAAATTTTTTATATGTAATACATAAAAGTATGATCCAATTTTTTGATATATAGTTGGCTTGGTCTAAAGACCTCCTAAATTTTGGGCAAATTTTAAAAGTACTACCTAATCAATGTGGCTAAAAAATAAAAATGGGCCACATTCAAAATCCCAGACTATCCCCATAGTTAGCATGTGGCCTGATGATGAAAATTGGCCATGTCATTATCCTAATGATAGTTTGCATGTGGCCAAAAAAAGTGAATTAGGCTACATAGGTAGGTAACAATCTACTCATAAGTAGGTAACAGTCTAATGTCACAATATATATATATTGTGACCTACTAGGGTGAAAATTTTGGCCAATTTATCACAAGACTGACTTATTGAGTTTACATATATATGTGGATTTTTTTATGGTATCCCCTTTTTCCTCTAAAAAAGGAAGCAATATTGCATTTTAAGTAACATATACTTGATAAAATAATAGGTAGGTCCAAAACCAGGATTTGGCCTTTTGAATTGGGCAGCAAGTATAGAAGTATTATGTGCCCATTGTGAACATCTAATTTGTGTCATAATGATTATTGTAAACTGAAAGTTCATAGCATGGTAAGCAAAAACTTTTTTCTATTCCCCATACACATACTATGCATATGCACTATGTCCACTATGCATTATGCACTATATGCAAAAAAAAAATCAAGCTTACTATGAATGGCATATAACTTGTCTATAGTGTCCAGGATTTGAACCAAAATGATGCAGTCAATGCTGTTGCACCTAAGTCATATTGGACTATAGCACAAAAGACCCTCAATTCATATAATTTTTTGGTGTGTGGGATAATAGCCTCTCATTTTTGTCATAACCTTGATCTTCTGTACTCTCTAATATGTGTGGGTGGAAAGAAGATGCAGGGCTATTAATTTTTAGATTTTCACTTTTTCTTGGTCCCAAATAATAGGGACGCACGTTTAATGGTCTTGGATCCATGCATTATTCCTTTTGTGCAGGTATTGAAATTTTTTAAGACTATCAGAAATCTACATACCAATCTTCCCTACAACTTGAATAATGGAAATTTCAATTTGACATAATTTGTAGACAAATGTATTCCTCTTATTCTGATAATATAATTGTAAAAAAAGCAGCAACAACTTTTATTTGGAAATTACTTAAAACAAATTATCAAATTCGGATTCAAAATAATACAAAAAAGTAAAATTTTTATTTAGATAGTTATAAATAGGGTTAATAATTTTCCAAAAGTTTTGTTAATACATAAATTAGTTTAATTAAACTTTTTTCAGTTCTTCTAATTTCATCAAAAATTTATCAAAATAAACTACAGAATAAGAAGAAGAAAAATACTTTGCATAAAAAAAAAAAAAGTAAAATGAAAAAAGGATTAGCATAAAGACAAAGTGTTTATATAATAATGATTGAAAATATAAACTAAAGATATAAAAATTCTTACCTCATGTTGAACACCATGTGGAATTACAATATTATGAGCCAATTCATGACAAAATTTCGTAAACCAATAGGCCATTATATCAGTTGAAAATGGAGAAGTTTCAGAATAAGAAGTCAAATAATAATTAAAGTTGAAAAATAATGAATTGTTTCGATTAAAAGCAACTGAAACACCAGGATCATAAAACACATGAATTTTGTTGGATGGTAATCCAAAAACCTCAGACAAATGCTCAAGTATTTGAATAAAGTTTATCAAAGGAGTTCTTGGTGATAAAAGCACTGATGAGTCCAGATGTCTTGAAATATAAAATTCTATCTCATTTATTTTTTCAATAAATTTTAATGAATGACCTGATAAAAAAAATATTTTTTAAATATTATTAACATTTTTAAAAATAAGTAAATAAATCAATGAATGTATGATTTCAAAAAAAAATTTTTAGAATAACTTTTCTACCTGGTATAATATCACAGTAACTTATTTGACTTTTCAAAAAGGTTATTTGTCCATTAGATTTGGGATCCGAATTTGAACAACACAAATTTATACCACTGTGTAAAGCTTTTTTCAGATCCTCAGTTGTCATTGGTGTACAAGGCTTGTTGTACCTCTTGTACCATGAATTTATTTCAAATTGTGGTGGTTTCAGCAACTTATAAAAGAAAAAAATTTTCAAAAATGAAAGATAATTTTTTGGTTCCCTTGGTTCCTTTGGCTTCTTTGGCTTCTTTGGCTTCTTTGGCTCCTTTGGCTTTTTTTGCTTCTTTGGTTTTGGTTTCTTTTCTGATTTCCTAGGTTTTCCAAAACAACAGCATGCGTCATCATCATCCTCAATTTCCACAGTTATTTTATTTTGTTTAACTAATCGATCCACCGGAAATCCCCTATCTTTAAGATCAGCAATCGACTTTGTTAATAACATGTCTAGAAGGGCAAACTTCTCAAATCGAGGTATTTTATAAATAAATTGAGAAATTGATTTTGCAATAGAAAAAAAATTAACTAATTCTTCTTCCCCCTCTACTCTAATAAATAGTTTCCATTTATACCTTGGCTTTTCTAAAATACAGGAGGTGTCTGAATTGATAACTTTTGTTATATTTTTTGGAGCCAAAACATAAGTTGTTTTAATCTGGTCAACTTCCATCACTTTCAATGCTTTTAACCATTGTTGATTTCTATTAATATCATCATCCTTAATGTCATGATAAAACAATGATGCACGTTCTCTAATCAAAATTTGTAATTCTATAGATTTTTGAGTATTTCTTGGTTTTCCTTTAATGCTATGTTTAGATGTAACACTATTAGATAGTGATAGACATCCCAATTTCTTTTTTTTTTGGGGAGGGAAATATTTCATTAGTATGGTATACATATCTATAAATTTTATTAACTAATGTATATTATTTATAATATTACCTTATACAAATCTTCTAGTAGGTTATCCATAGGACAACTTAATGGCTTAAAAATTTTATAATATATTTCCTCATCATTTATATAAATATCTTTAGAAGATGCTAATACATATTTTTCATCACCGACAGTTTTTTCCTCTTTCTTATCACTATCATCTTCTAATAAGACTTGACCTTCTTTCAAATCATTTAATATTGATATTGAATTATCATCATCAACAGGATTTTTCTCTTTCTTACCACTATCATCTTCTAATAAAGCTTGATATCCTTTCCAATCATTCAATGCTTCATCTTTATCATCAATGGGTTTTTTCTCTTCCTTACTACTATCATCTAATAATGCTTGACATTCTTTCAAATCGTTTAATATTGAATCATTATCATCATCAACGCTTTTTTCTTCTTTCTTACCACTATTATTTTCTTTCTTCACTGCTAATAAAACTTGACATTCTTTCAAATCATTTAACACTTTGGAATTTCCTTTGATTTCTTCAAAGCTGAAAGAGATTTTGTGTAGAGTATCAATATATTTATCAACATTACCATCAAGGCTTTTCAAGAATTCATGTGAATATTTGATTAAAAATTCTGCCAAATCAGTTGGAGATGGTTCATTTTTGACACCACAATTTCGCAAAAACATATTGGCTTTTTCACCAAAATTAATATAATTAAAATGGTCATAAGAGCCGTTAAAAAAACAGTCAAGTGGTGTAACATGTTTCAAACTGTGTCTATACACTTTATCACGAATTGGAATAAAAGGTATTTTTTGTAATTCAGCCCAATCTGAATGTACAAAATGAAACGAAGATAGATAATCAAAAATCAATTTTGCCTTTTCTTCATTTTCTGGCCGTTCTTCCCTTAGTTTTGCTAATATTTGTAACCGACAAGGATCTTTTTTCACGCCAAATTCATCAGCATTAGGTAGCAATTCTTTATTCAAGATATTAAATTTCATAATTTCACACTCAGGATTTGTATAACAATTTGTTGGTGTTGCATAGACATTTGTATCAGTACATGGAAGAAATGCCAAATTTACCATATTTGCATTATAGTCTTTATAATATCTTGCTTTAAAATTTTCAATAAAATAACAGAGAGCTTTTTGGCGAATTGAAAGTTCTGTGTTAGATGATGCTAGTTGAAGTATCACATCAAGTGGAGGATATTTACGTAAGTCTAGACTTGAAATAAATTTAACTAAAAACAACATAAAAATACATATATATATTAGTTTTCAAATAATAATAAATAAATAAATATATTTCAATACCTTCTTTGAGATCTTTATTCCATTCACCATTCCACTGAATTATTGGTAATCCCAACTCACGTAATTGTGATAATGGTGCATATAATTCTTTTGCTGTAAACCTTTTAATTGTTGATTCTTTACTATTTTTGTTGTTAGATTCCATTGGCCAAATAGGCATGGATGACAATTTTTTTATTTCCTCAGCATCTGTAATTTCATTCTTAATAAGATATTCTATTAATTGCATATGATCCCAACTTCCTTGACTAATAAGTCGATCAAATAAAAGTTGTGGTTCAATATGCTGAATTAATTTTAGAAAAAAAAATATTGATTAATCAATCAATTTAATAAGCATTATATATAATAAATTAATAAATAAATAATACTACAAACTTTACCTTTCTAACTCCCAAGAAAGCAAGGAATTTGTCACTTATTTTATATCGAAAGCAAACTATAGGTAAATCTGTGAATAAATCCACACCTGGAAAATAAGATTGACTTGGCTTGTTCATACCAACTGATGTTGGTATACATTCTTTGTTGGCCAAAAGCTGTTTAATAGTTGCTTGATCTTGTTCAGAAACAAATTCAAAATCATGTCCAGATTGACGTGAAATAATCCTAAGAATTTCTTCTGAAAATGCTGGATCCTGTTCAAATGAAGGTTTTGTGGTAATAAATTGAATCCATGTAATCAAATTTAATTTGGACCAACCACTAACAATATGAAAACAATAAATTTATCAAGTTAATATTTAGAAATTATTGAAATAAATGGATGTGAGTGTGTGTGTGTGTGTGTATATATATATATATATATATATATAGCACTGACCTAAAGTAAGTTTCAATGTCTTTTTTATCAAAGCATTTACTTATTGAATAAGGTAAAACATTTAAAGGAACTTCCACATCAAGTGGAATAACAGTCGGATCTAAATAATAAGAAATATTACTGAGAGGCACCTTAGTTTTTTTAACTTGTATAGTAGCAAGTTTCATGAGTTTCTCCGTTTCAGCTAAATTTTTAGGTTCATAACCTATCCACCATTTCAATAAACTTATTATTTCGTCTTCATCTAATGCACGACTTTCTAATTCCTTAAAAATGTCATTTATTGAGATTTCAGACATGAGCTTTAAAGTATCTTTTGCTTTTTTGAAAAATTCACAACATTTACTTAACAATAATGGTGGAACAATTGGGATGCTCTTGATAAAAAGCACTGTCTTAGGGGTTGGTATTCTAATAGATTCAATTGGTAAAATACCATGAGTAGATAATATTGGTAATGGTGTTGATATACAATTAAAAAATTGTGATTCACTGATTGTTGAGATCTCATTTCTAGGTGTACTTTGTTTAAATGTAAAATGTGCCAAAACATGTGCTACACGTTTTTGAAAATCTTCAAATTCAGATTTCTTTTGAAATGTTGCAGGCTTTGAACCAAACAAGCTCTTGTACAGTTTTGAAATTTGTATCAGCTCATCTTCATATATTATACGAGACAATGTACCAGCTAAAGATAACATTCCTTCATTATATTTTGCTAGGGTTTTATGTGCCAAATCAACTGATTCACGTTCAACCTTAAAATAATAATAACAATAATAATAATAAAGGTACAAATAAATATGTATTTTTTTTGATGAAAAACTATTTTATATATATATATATATATATATATATACACACATAACAAATATGGTTACTTACTGTAGGAATTAGTCTAGCTGCAAGGTGCGCAGAACAACCAGTTGTTTGAAAAGTAGGAAACCCTATAAATATTTTACCTTGTTCAGGGAATGCCAATAAATCTCTGAATACATTTGAAATATGTTTATTTTGATCTGAAGAACTTTGCTCATCATAACTAGTAAAAATCATTTGTATCTTTGTATTTTTTGGAGGCCATTTCTTGGTGGCACGTTCCATTTCCACACGAAATGGCTCTGGAATCTTTAAATCAACATTACCACTAGCAATTTTTAGGAAAATTGTGGATTTTCCAGATAAAAAATTTTTTATTGGAGATTTTGTTGAAGTAATTAATATATTAACATCTAATTGAGCTTTGTAGACATTAACTGATTTCAATTCAAATAGATTATTTGGTGAATTTTTTTTTATTCCATGTTTGATTGACATTGGTCGTGGTACATCCATTTTTTTTGTTAATTGAATTACTTGGATGTTATCAAAGTAGACTGTAATTTTATTAAGATTCCCTGTGAAGCCCTGAAATAAGTTGATAATAGTGATGGTGGTAATAAATGATTACTTGTTTATATATATATATCTTTCTGTCATATGCTTCAATTTAAAAATATCAGTTTTAAATATAAACGATCATTATTACCAGCGAAGTTGCTAGAAAACGTCCAAAAGCTTCTATTTCAGGTAACTAAAATAGAACCAACCAACAAATCAATCAATCAATCAATCAATCAATCAATCAATCAATATATACATATCACTATCACAAAAATAAATTATAGGCTTACTTTTTTTCCATTTTCAATAGTATCCATCAAAAATGTTGTCCAAATATTATCATTCTGTTTGATATCCTTTCGTTTAACAAATAATTGATCTCCACGCCAATAAAAGGCCATAGCTTGTGTACCTGATGATACACTATTTAAATATGTAAAAAAGTAGTAATAGTTTATTCATGGGATTAATAATTAAAAGAATAATTGTAATCCATAATAAAAAAAGAAATTTTTAATAATAGTTATTTACAAAGGATCATCACAAACTGAAAACAAGGAATAAAATCCAACACCAAAGGCACCAATCTAAATTCAATTATATATAATCTATTAAGTATTATGTATATAATATAAATGCATACATGTGTATATGAATCGTAAAATTTTAAAAGATATATATATACAAACCTTTTGTTCATCAGGATTTCCTTCAGCAATTTTTTTCAATCTATTCCAATCTTCAGGCCTAAATAAAAAACCATTGTTTTTGAACAATATTCTCACACATTTATCCGACATGCTAACATTTTTAGGCTTTTTAGTCTCAAATATTATTTCAATGTCTGTAGCTTTAGCATCATCTAAAAACAATAATTTAATAGTTGATCGATTTTTCTATATATCAATTATTTTACTCGAAAAATAAAAAACATTTACCAGAATTTTGTAATAATTCTCTATAAACAACAAATTCATTGGAATATCTATTGATTAAAAATATCAAGAAATTTACGGTAAGTTAAAAGGCTTTTGTAATAATAATACCGATAATTGACAATTGATAATACCTTGCTAAAATTTTATCAATTAAGTGTCTTTGATTAATTTCAACTCTTTCCTCGCCAGCTTGATTAGAAAGTACTTCATCACGAAGTTTATTTAATGACATGTTTAAAAAAATTTAAACAATAATGAAAATAATGAAATTTTAAAACGATAAAATTTTAAAACGATAAAATTTTAAATTTTTCGAGAGCATTACTATTTTATAATTATTTGCCGCGTAGCTGTATAAAGCAAATCATTTTGTTTTTGGAAATAAAAATGAGGAGTCAAATTAACTGAGTCAAATTAATTGGAGAGTCAAATCAATTATATTGAGTCATAATGCTTGCTTGGGATTTGTGATGTTTTTACTACGAGTTTACGTTGGTTGTTCTTAGAAAGAGCTTGCTTATGTGACATATTTGATTAATACCAGGGTATATCATCAACCTCCCGTCTTCAAATTTATTAACATAAGGTAAGTAGCATAGTGGACATTTGATTTCATTGGCTAAATTGTGATATTTTTGACGATCACCCTTCATAAAATTAATTTTATTGGTTAATTTTATATAATAATTTTTAACAAAGTGGTTTCTTTAATTAATCTTTTTAACAAGGCGACGGTTTTCCCATTTTTTAACAAGGTGAATTTTTTTATTTGCATTTCTAACAAGGTAATGGTTTTTTTTTTGTTTTTTAACAACACGAAATAAAAAAATATAAAAGGACAAGTGTTACTAGGATCAGATGATGACGACGATAATTTGGCCGAACCCTTTAATTTTGGGTCAAATTAAATTTTATTTCTATTTTTACTTTTATTATTATTTTATTTTAATCTATTTTTTTATTTATTTTTATTTTTATTTTATTATTTCTATTTTTATTTATCAATACATGTATAATTATTTATTATTATTATCATCTGAATTCGTGTTACGTTTCGCGTATTTAATTATTATTAATCAATCCATAGCATATTCATATTTATTTAACTTTATTTAGTAGAGATTAATGACGAACAGGAGGAATCGCTCAAAACGTGCGGATTCGCCCAGATACAAAGTGAGCGAATTCGCGCAATCTGAGCGAAAACGCACAATTTGAGCGGAATCACCCAAACCGAGCGGATTCGCACAATTCGGGCTAATATGTAAATGAACATGTATATAAAGAACTTGATTTCGACCTAATGTACAAGCAACTTTCTTACAAGTTAATTAGGGGAAAAAAAAAGTTATAACAACCATAAACCAAATATTTAAATAATTTAAAATGTCAAAACCTAAAATTCATGGCCCATGTGTTCTTGAAGGTTGTGAATCTCATGGTCCATTTAGAAAATTCCCTGAAGCTGCTAAATGCAGTTCTATAATAAATAAAACATATGAAACTTATAATTACCTTCAAGTTGGTGATCAACTTTGTCATTTACATTATTTATCAATTGTGGTGCCAGATAGAGGTGGAAAAAATGCTGTTAAAAAACAAAGATCAAGAGAATTTGGAGAAATTCATATTGTTGAAAATGATTACAATTATCTCATATTTTGGAAAATTCAACTGATGATATTGATGTAAATTTTGATTATTGGTCAGATATAAATATCAAT